ACCCCGCTACAGAATAGCCCTGCGGCTCGGCCCGAGCCCAAAGGGCCGAATCCGCAGAGGCCGCCTTTGCCTTCCCTTGGCCTCGCTCCGATTCCCCTCGCTCACAAGAGCGGAAAGGACCTTCCCTCTGTTCAACTCTGAGAGCCCCTCCTGGGCCACGAACTGAGGGAAGAACATTACTGCTGTCTGGAGGGAAGGGAGCCTCACCCCCCACACGTGAAGGGGAATCTCAAAATGCTTCAAGCCTGTGGCAACTTTAAAAAAAAAAAAAGCAGCCTTATGGCAACTGAGAGACCAACAAAATATCTCCCGTATCATGAGCTTTCCTGGGCACAACCCACTTCCTCAGATGAGCTGGAGTGAAAAAAAACCCCAAACAGGAATCTAGAATGTATAACAGAAAAAGAAAGGGGAGAGGGAGGGAAAGGTACTTGTCATTTTTAGGACGGGTGCTAATGAGGCTAATTGAGTGGGCTGGCAGGGTCCCATATTTAGCTTTTGAGGTAACAATGAGGTGTCAAACTCAGGGCAAGCTGGCTTTAGAATGTGCCATCCCAAATTTCTATATAAATGTCAGTTCTGCACTCTAATGGGCTGGCAACTTTGAAATCCATTAATTAAGGAGTGCCCAGGCCTCATTTTATGTGCAAGAGCAGCTCCCAGCACCTCTCAAAAGGGATGATGCAGGAGGCACATTGGAGGGGGTAGGGCCAATATTACTTGTAATCTTTTCCACCTATGTGCAGAATATTTTTTTATGCGCACCGAGGCCTGTGTGGACGTGCACCACCAGCGGAAACAAACCCGAGCTGTGGGCACTCTGCTAATCAACTGGGCAACACAAGTCTCTCTCCTGAGGGGCTGCACAAGCACCCAGCTGACAGGGAGCGCCGAGTAGCGTCCCTGCAGGGGTGGGTTTGGGGAACTTCAATGGTGCCAGTTCCGTACCTTCCAGCTCTTCCACAAGGGCTCGGTTTGTCTCCTTCAGCGCTCGGTAGAGCTGGTCCTTGCGCCCGGTGTCCCAGCTCGGCACCAGCTCGTACAACCTCCACATCTTCAGCGGGTCCGTGACAACGCTCCGGCACTGCTCCTTGCTCAGCACTTTCCGGCACAGAGCCTCCACGTTGGCGACGCGCTGGATCAGCCGCTCTCGGTGCCTGTCGACAAAGTGTCCCTCTGCGTGGAGGAACGCGTCAAAGCAAACCGTAAACCAGTGCTGGGCCCAACGGATCCTGCCGCTGCTTCTTCCCTGGGGCCCTTGGCTTGGAGGGGGGAGGAAGAGCTGGAGCAAAGCCACCCTGCCCCCCCAAGATGGATCGAGTGTCCAGGATCACATCTCTTCCCCCCTAACCCCTAGCACAAGGGAAATATGCAGGCCCTGATAAGAAAACTCCTTTATTTCTCTAGTCCTTTTTACCCAGGTGACTCAGAGCCACTTGGCTGGTAGAAATGGGGACCGCGGCTCACCTATAAGAACAGTTCTCTCCGAGGCAGGTCACAGAAACTCTGCAACAGCCGCCCGGCAACACAGCACAAATACTTAAGACAGGAAGAGAGCAGGGTTTGGCTGTTGGGAACGGGGGGTGGGAAGTGGGACCATCGCTGGATGCCTGGCTGCATCCGTAGAACAGGAAAGAAACAGGGAAGTCCCCCGCAGTGATACTAGTCACAGATGGGTCTCTGGGGATGACGAGTTGGGCGAGACGGGGCAGAGTTCAGGCTGTTTGGGGGTAATTGTGTATTTAGGTGCAGCACTAACTTCTGCTTTTGCTCTAGTGGCTGCTCACACCTGCGTATTGGGATGATCCAGGAGGAAGATCGGAAAGGGAAGGCAGGTTGGGGTGATTTCAGTCAGGGGCACGGGAGGACAGGCAGTTGGGAGAACCCCGCCGGGATGCATTCATGCAGGTCCCCAGGGTACCAGGGGAGGGATTTTCTTGATTCTGTTCCTTTACCCTCCAGCTCTTCGATGAGGGCTCCGTTTGTTTGCTTCAGCAGCTCGTAGAGTTGGTCCTTGCGCTCTCCGTCCCAGCTCGGCAGCAGCTTGTACAGCTTGCGCATCTTCTCCGAGTCGCTGTCCTCCGCCATGATGCCCTCGCGTTGCCCAGGGTTCAGTGGGAGCTGCCGCAAGACTTGGTCCATATTGGAGACTCGCTGGATCAGCGGCTCTCGGTGCTGGTCAACAAAGTGTTCCCCTGAGACGGAAAGAATGAAACACACGAGTTAAAGGGTGGAGCCAGACGGACTAAAAAGAACGAGACACTCGGCTCCCCCTACTGGAGAGCATGGGAAACCCCAGCTCAGGTCAGCTGCATTGACATGGCTTATAAGCATGTCCCCCCACACCCACCCCCAGCTCCACACCATGGATTGTGCAGCTTTCTTTGGTGTTCATCTGTGTTTTGGATTCATGCATGGAGAGACCTTGTGGGTGGCAAAACTAACCTGGTCTCTGAGAGGTATGGCCCAGCTCCACTCCTCTTGGTGAGTGCCTGCCTCATCCAGTCATCAGAAAATTTTCCTTTGGAGGGGGCGGGGGGAATCTACTAGGGCAGCTTAAGTGTCTTCTGACATCACTCACCCACTGGGAATCAGTATAAAGGCTGCCCCCCCCCCTTTCTCTCTTGCCACAGAACTCCAGTGTAACGGGGTGGAAGGGCAGGTTGTGGAATAGACAGAAGTACGGCCAGACCGGGTCAGACCAAAGGTCTATCCAGCCCAGCGTCCTGTCTCCGGCCAATGCCAAGTGCCCCAGAGGGAGAGAACAGAACCGGGAATCATCCAGAGATCCCTCCCGTCGTCCGTTCTCAGCCTCTGACAACAAGTATAGCAAGGCTGTAACAGCCTACCATCTCCCTAGGGAACCTATTCCAGTGCTTCACCCCCACCCCGCCAGTTGAGCCCTATTATAGTCGTGGCCTTCACAATATCCTCTGGCAAGGAGTTCCACAGGTTGACTGTGCGCTACATGAAGAAATACTTCCTCAAGTTTGTTTTAGTCCTGCTGCCTATTGTACACTAGAGTGCCTTCTTCCTTGTTTTAATACACTTCACCTGCCCGTTCTTTCAAGGAACAAGATTCTTTTGTTAAAGAATAACTACTTGCTGGCAATCCTTTGAGTGGAGGGCTGTATCAGTGTGCTCGCAGGGGTCAGCAGGAGTCCTCTGTGGGGAGGAGACAACCCCCTGATAATATCCTGGCAATTCCTATAGGGCAGCCATCACCTTTTAGCCTTCTGGGGTGACAAACTAGTAAGCCAAAACTAGTGTGCCTCAGGTCCAGACAGTAGGGTAACACTAGCTATGCTCTTTAGCTACTAAATGAGCTCATTTAATTTGGTAAGGTTGTCAAAAGACAGGACACGGACGTGGAGCTGTGTCTTAGGCCGAGGATGGTTGAGAAGAAACACTGCAAGACAACTACCCAGCATGTGCAGCCTGGACTCTGCGACGGAAAACCCCTAATCGATGGCACCAGGCCGCGCTCTCTCTAATCTTGTCCATCCACATGCAGAATAATTTTATGTGCACCGAGGCATGTGTGAATGTGCACCACAAGGAGAAACATGCTGCAGCTATGGATGCTCTGCTAATTAGCTGGGTGGCCACCCAGTTTACAGAGAATACTGTAAGCACTAAGGGGATGCTAATCTGTGTTCAGACCAGATAACTGAGTGATGGGTGAGGGATAAACATCCAGAGAGTGGAGCCAGTGTCCCCTCTGGGCTGGGCCCAGGGTGCAGTCCCCAGGAACACACGGAGAGATTTTCTTTACTCAGAATAGTTACCCTCTAGCTCTTCTATGAGGGCTCTGTTCCTTTTCTTCATGGTCTGGTACAGCCTGTCCTTGAATGTCCTGTCCCGGGTCTGCACCAGCTCATACAGCCGCCGCATGGTCTCCGGGTTGGTCCTGATGCTCCGGTACTCCTCCGGCTCCAGGACATCCCTGCGGAGCAGATCCAGGACTTTGTCCACTGAGGAGACGCGTTCAATCAGCTGCTCTTGGTGCCGCTCGACGAAGTGTTCCCCTGGGAAAAGGGACATAAAAAGCTCAGTCAATGGCCAAGCTACTTGGCGGCTGTATCCAGCCCCACAAGGAGCTCCAGGGGAGGTCATGCACAGCACCGACATGCTCTTCCCCCAGCTTCCTGGCACGTGGGGTACATGTCAGGTGCACGGTCTCTTTGGATGGGGCTTTCCGATTCCCTGTGGCACCCAGCCAGCTCCATAGTGGGGTCAGGTCTGGAGCCCCGCTCCTTGCACCCTTTACTGACCACACTGGTATCTCCCGTGCCTCAGGGCTGCATGGAGGAAACAGCCCCTCTGAAGCTGCCCACCCTGCCTTCCCTGTTTTCCCCTCAGGGCTGCCGGCAGAACAGCTGGGTGTGTGGGCAAGGGGGGCGGCTCCGGGTCCCTGGAAGGGGTTGGGCTCAGGCAGAAGCAGAATTCTCCAGCGCCACCCAGCCTGCTCCGCAGGGCTCCAGGGCCCATTTACAGCGTCCAGGGCTTCAGCCACCACTGCTGCCGGGGTACAGGCGGGGGCAGCCCGGGCCCTTTTAAATCACCGGGCCCCAGGGCAGCTGCCCCGTCGGGGTCCTTGGTTCCCCTGGAGCTGGGAGCCCCACTAGCCAGACGGGCACTCGTGCTATAGCGGCGCCTTCGTCTTTAAAGGCAGAATTTGTTGACACAGTGAGGGAACACGGGCAGCCCAGCGGGACACCCACTCACACCAGGCCTGGCACAACCACCGGCACGTCCGCTCTGATCTGCCTCATCGCCCTCCCCTTCCTCATCCTCACCTGTGGCCCCTCCCCCGGGCCACATCTCTTCCTTCGCTGCCCTGGGATGCGGCTGTTACCACGTCGAATGCATATTCAATGGGGGGGGGGGCTGTTTCCTCCCTTTACCCACGGGGAGGCGCCCTTGTCCGATAGATTAACCTATCTACCATTTCACCCCATTAGTGTAGAGATCGCTTCGTTGCCATGGCGCCTTTGCGATCGGATGTTCCATCCGGAACTTTCCGGAAACAGGTGTCAGCGCCTGTTCGGAGGTCAGACCCCCAGGACTCCCCCTTACGCCCTCCTGCCAGCTCCTTATCCCTCAGGAGTCATGTATGTTTACCCAGGGCACCTGAGGCAGTGGGTTGTACCCACAAAAGCCGTTCGTGGCCAAGCTGCTGCCCCCCACTCGTGGCACCCCAGTAAGGTGGCTGTTTTTAGCACGTGGGTTCGAACAGAACCGGGGTGAGCACGTCTACCTGAGCTGGGAACACACCTCCTGGCTCAAATGTAGCTGTTCCTTCTGGGGCAGGGAGTCAAAGGCTGATTCTTAAACTGCACGTTGTGGGGTGTTATTCGGAGGAGAGGGTTACGAGTGTGTACGTATGCCAGGGTCTGGAGGCACCTGAATGTTATATGCCACCGGGCACCGTTAAACAGGCTTGAATAGGGGCGTGGGAAGGTGGCCTGGAAACCTTTTTTACTTCCCTTTTTGTCTACAACAGCCTTTGGTGGACTCTTGTAGGGGAGAGTGAACGGGCTGGAAAAGGAGAGGAAGGGCCTGTTCTTTTCAGCATCTGTGGGGCAGGCAGGCTCAAGCTATGTGCGTTAACGGGACATTGCTGAAAGGAGGCAGAGTTAAGGCTGCCAGGGCACGTACCTGGTTTCCAGCTCAGTGTTCTAGACGGGGACGACATGCCACCAAAACCACCTTAACTCTGCCCTGAAGTTAGTGTGTGTCACGGAGTAGCCGGACTTGGCCTTTCTTACCTGGATGGCCGTGCGTCTTGGGGAGAGGGCAGCTACTGACTGACATGCCCCCAGCAATTTCCTTGCCGCTTTGCTTCCCCCTCCCATTGTCCTTCCGTTTGTCTGACCCCTGCCTAACAAAACCCTGCGCTAAAATTAAACAGGAACAGCAGGCTTGGTACACTCATGTGCCACTTAACTGTCACCATGATGGGCTGTGTGTTGAGTCCCCGCTTCCCCACCTGTCTGGTCGGACTGTGAACTCTCATTCTGGGGCTGCCCTGTACCTGCTGCACTGGGACACCACCAAAGTGGGGTGGGTGCAGCAAGAAGGATTTTAGGGTGGCGGGAGGGGGCCTGGTCTCTTGCTGGGAGGTTGCAGGAGTTGTGCGGGTGAACACGCTCAGTCTCTCCATGTGGGCTGCCAAGGGTTAATCCTGCTGTGTGATTTGACTCACCTGTAGCTCCTGCGCCGGTTCTTTGCACAGGTGACTCCTGGTCGCAGCCACCAGCGCCTGCAGGAGAGAAAGCCGGGGGCCACAGAGGGAAGGGACCCGCTACAAGGAAGAGAGGAACTCTGAGAACCGGAGTGTCGAAACGGGGCACGATTCTCCCCCAGTCGTGGGAACCACACCCATCTTGTGGTCTCCAGCCCATAATCCAGCTCCCACAGTCACCCCCCCTCAGGGGAACCCTCCTCTGATCTCTGGGACCCCAGACCAGTCAAGTAAGGGTTCACCATACTGGGTCACTGACTCATTGAAAGCGCCTGCCCCAGCACTAAGGGGCTGCTTTAGAATCCCGGTCCAGCCCTGATACCATAATAATGGGCAAGGGATGGCCACCTAGAGAGGGGAGCCGGTGTCTCCTCTGGGCTGGCTCAGGGTGCCGCCCCCCGGGGGAGGTCGTTCTTTTCACTACAGCGCCTTACCCTCCAGCTCGTCGATCAGGGCTCCCTCGGTTGCTTTCAGCGCCTGGTAGAGCCGGTCCTTGCGCCGGGTGTCCCAGCGAGGCACCAGCTCAAAGAGCAGCAGCATCCTCACTGGGTCGGTTCTGACGCTCCGGTACTGCTCATCCTCGAGTACATCCCCGCGGAGCCGCGCCAGCACCTCGTCCACCCGGGAGACTTGCCGGGTCAGCTGCTGCCGGTGCCGCGTGACAAAGTGTTCCCCTGAAGAGGAAGCCCTTTCCCACGTAAGCAGCCCGGAGCGGCTGAACTGCATCACCGGGTTATTTCAGACAGAGTCCTGAGCAGGGGTGGGGGCAAAGCTGCCCTGTCCCGCGGGAAACTCCAGGACAGGGGGTCTCTTTGGAGCACAAGGAGAGAAACTTCTCTGCTCCAGTCCCGCTGGGGGCGGTTACTTTTCACAGTGCAGGCCTGGGCAGTGGGTGAAGGTAGGGGTGGGGGAGGCACCTCCTCCAGTCCCACCCCTTTTGCCCTGGCCCCGCCCCCATGGGAGCCAAGGCCCCTCCCACCCAACACACAGTCCCAATCTCCCTGGGCTTGGAACACAGGAAGGGCGTTTGGGGGCAGCAAGACTCCGCCCTCAGTACACCTATAGTAGTTGTTCTGGGGGCAGAGTCTAGAGGCAGCACTCACACCTCGTGGTCATAGCCCCGCCCTAGCTGTAAGAGGTGGCACCGCCCTGGCCACGTTCAGTTCCTTCTTACCACCTGTGGCCAGAGTCGGAACTTGGTGTGGTTTTCAGCCTCACAAGCCTCTCTTCTATTCAGTGACACCCCCCCACTCCCCGGCACCATTTGTGTCCCTAGCGGCTTCCCCCTTTCCTGTCTCGTGTCAGGAAACTGGGTTCCTGTTCGTGATAACGCCCACGTGGCGTGTGTCTGATTGACAGGGCCTCCTTAGGTAAAGGAAAACCGCGGTGCATCTACTCCGAGAAGCATTAACAGGAGTGTTGTGAGCAAGACAGGAGACGTCATTCTTCCGCTCTACTCTGTGCTGATTAGGCCTCAGTTGGAGGATTGTGTCCAGTTCTGGGCACCGCATTTCAAGAAGGATGTGGAGAAATTGGAGAGGGTCCAGAGAAGAGCAACAAGAATGATTAAACGTCTGGAGAACATGAGCTATGAGGGAAAACTGGAAGAATTGGGCTTGTTTAGTTTGGAAAGGAGAAGACTGAGAGGGGACATGGTAGCAGCTTTCAAGTTTCTAAAAGGGTGTGAAAAAAGAGGGAGAAAAATAGTTCTCCTTGGCCTGTCATGATAGGACACGAAGCAATGGGCTTAAACTGCAGCAAGGGAGGTTTAGGTTGGACATTAGGTAAATCTTCCTGTGAGGATGGTTAAACTCTGGAATAAGTTGCCTAGGGAGGTTGTGGAATTTTTATCCCTGGAGATATGAACGAGCAGGCTGGACAGACACCTGTCAGGGATGGTCTAGACAGTGCTTGGCCCTGCCGTGAGGGCAGGCGACTGGACTCGATGGCCTCTCAAGTTCCCTTCCAGGACTAGTGTGCTAGGATTCTCTGATTTTAGAGCCCAGAGACAGGAGCTAGTGACCCTCAGGGGGCAGCTGCCATGGGGATGGATTGGGAGGTTCATGTCCTGCTCCATTTATTTACCTTCTAGCTCTATGACGAGGCCTGGGTTGGTTGCGGCCAGCGCCCGGTAGAGCCGGTCCTTGTGCAGGGTGTCCCAGTTCGGCACCAGCTCGTACAGCTTCCGCATTCTCTGGGGGTCGGATCTCTCCGCCCAGATGCTCAGGTATTGCTTGTTGCTTAGCACATCCCCACAGAGCAGGTCCAGGACCGTGCGCACCGAGGACGCGCGTTGGATCAGCTGTTCCTGGTGTCGCTTCACAAAATGTTCCTCTGGGCAGAGAGGCACTAAAACAACAAATCCCGCAGGGTGATTTCGAGCAGGTACAAGCCATCTCAGGCGGTTCCCTGGAGCCAGTTAGCCACAGCCTGCACCGGGGCAGGGGTAAAGCTGCCCTCCCCCTGCAGGACACATACCTCAGGGGTCCCCACCCTCCTCCGTGCCCCTCCCCCATGCGGCATGGATGGGACACTCAGGTCCTTGGGAATGAAGCTACATTATTCCTCCAGCCTTCTAATCTGGGGGTAGCCCAAGGTGCTTTACAGGCTGTAGAGATGGGGACCACTTCCCCACATGGACGTGCAGCCGCTCCCGAGACAATCACGGCCCCGCCAGGCCATGAAGAGTTGTAGCTGTTGAGACGGGGGAGGCGGGGAAGTTAATTATTAAGTGTCACTGGCCTCAGTGACGAATGGGGGAGATGGGGCAGAGTTAAGGGTGTCTGAGGTAACCACATATCTAGGTGCAGCGTTACGTTCTGCCCCTGCTGCAAGCACCTGTCGTGGGGTGATCCAGGAGGAAGACAGGAAGGAAGGGCAGGCTGGGGTGACAGCTAGGAGGGGCTGTAGGAAAGAGGTGAGGAGGCCAGCCTGGGGCACAGCTGGAGTTTACAGAATGGCACCCACTTCTGTAAATACGCGCAGGCTCTCTAGGGCAGCCAACTAGTGACTAAGTGGGGTGATTTAGAATTTAGCTGCAGCTGGGGGGACGCCAGCTCCAGGGGCAGTCTGGAGCTGCAGCACCACAGGAAAAAAATGGGGTACTCAGCATCCACCTGCCCCTGCCCCTAGTGCCTCCCGCTCACCAGAGATCAGCTGTACAGGAGGCAGTGGCGGGCAAGAGGTGGAGCAGAGGCAGGAATTGGCAGGAATGGAGCTTTGGCAGGGGAGGGGGAAGAGGTGGAGTGGGGGCAGGGCCTGGGACAGAGCAGGGGTCAAGCACCCCTTGGAAATGAGGAAGCTGGCACCTGTGCGTTCAGCCCAGTGATGCCCGGGGCGTACAAACACGGGGCGATGAGCTAGTGACAGTGTTCCCTGGAAGCTGAGCACTTGGGCAGCCACCCAGGAGAGACTCAAGTGCCACCCAGCTGATTAGCAGCGTGACCACAGCTGGCAGTGGGTCTCCTGGTGGTGCACATCCGCACACGCCTTGGTGCACATAAAATTTATTCTGCACAGATGGAAAAAAAAATGAGGGAACACTGACTAGTGTCCTTCTGGGTTGGGCTTGCTGGGACAACCGCCAGGTCAAAAGGGACATTTGTCCTCACTCCATTTATTTACCCTCTAGTTCTTTGATGAGAGCCGGGTTTGTTATTGCCAGCACTCGGTAGAGCCTGTCCTTCTCCCTGGCGTCCCAGCTCGGCACCAGCTCATACAGCCTCTGCATTCTCCCTGGGTCGGAGCTCGCGGCCATGATGCTCCAGTACTGATGATCATCCAGCATCTCCTCACGTAGCAAACTCAGGGCTGGGTCCACCGGGGAGACTCGCCGAATCAGCTGCTCTCGGTGCCGCTCCACGAAATGCTCCCTGGGCGAGTGAAACGCTGCGAACGAGACATCCACCAAGGCTGTTCCCAGCGGCGCAGGCTACTTCCGACCCATTTCGCCGGAGCAGGGATGGAGGCAAACCTGTCCCGCCCCCAGGAAGAGCTCAAGGATGGATTTTACCTTAGGAGTCACTCCAATTCCCCAGCACATGGGGGGACATGCCTGGGGTTTGCGTCCCCCGCCCCCAACGGGCCCGGCAGTCCCTTAGGAACAAGTCTCTCCTCAAACCACCCGGAGGGGTGGACTTTGCTGTGGGGACTCAAAGACGCCCAGGCCCCCAGACAAGCGGGGAGGACGCTGGGCCTTTGGTGTCGGCCTCTGAAGTGTGCCCTGAGAGGGGAAGGGAAAAGAGCGGGAACCTTTCCCCCTCACGTCAGCCTCCCGTCCCAGCCTTCTCCGGCTATGCTACCTGCCCCCCACCAGCGCCTGCAGGGCAGGAGGAGAGGGCCTCCCCAGGCCTGGAAGGGTGGCTTTGTGGTCGAGGCACTGCCCAGGGACACCAGCTACCTGGGCTGGGTTCCTGGCTCTAATACAAGCGCCTCATGGGACCTCAAGCAAATGTCTCCGTTCCCTCGGGATCTCAGCTCTCCTGCCACTCATGAAGAGCATAATCCGTCCTGTCTCCCGCCGCCTGCTTGTGCTAACCTGGTGCCTTCCAGCAGGGTCTCTTCCCCCGTCCCTGTACGGTGCCTCACAACAGAGCCCAACCTAGGGGCAATGGCCTGAAAGCGATTCCTTGGAATAACCTGCCCCCGCGAGAGAAGGCGGATGTCATCTCTGGCGAGGGCCTGAGGCAGGCTCAGCCTGCGAGCTCTGAACGCCAACCCCCCCGTTCGATTTGTCCTCTCCTGGACAGTCCCCGATACCACAATGACAGGCAAGGGGTACAACCCCAGAGAAACAAGCTGGTTCAGGATCCAGCCCCCTGGAGGTGCAGGGAACGATATTTTTTAACCCCGTTTATTTACCTTCCAGCTCTTTGACAAGGGTTTGGTTTGTGTCTTTCAGCGCCCGGTAGAGCCGGTCCTTACGCCGCGTGTCCCAGCTCGGCACCAGCTCGTACAGCTTCCGCATCTTCCCCGGCTCGGTGCACAGCTCCAGGTATTGCTCCCTGTCCAGAGCAGCGCCGCACAGCAGAGCCAGGATTTCGTCCACCAAGCAGGCTCGCTGGATCAGCTGCTCTCGGGGCCACTCGACAAAGTGTCCCCCTGAGCAAAAAACGTGGAAAAAAAACCCCACTGCTTAGGGTAGGTCTACAGCCACGGCAGGCCTACGTCATCTGACTCGGGCTACAAGGCTAAAAACGGCTACGTACATGTTCTTGGACCCTCCCCGCTTGTCACCCCTGAAGATGAGCCCCACAGATTCATATTAGCCATAAGAACAGCCAAACTAGGTCAGACCAAAGGTCCATCTAGCCCAGGGGCCTGTCTGCTGACAGTGGCCAATGCCAGGTACCCCCGAGGGAGTGAACAGAACCGGGAATCATCCAGTGAGCCCTTCCCTGTCATCCATTTCCCTACCCATCCTGGCTAATAGTCATTGATGGACCCATCCTCCATGAATTTATCTAGTTCTTTTTTTAACCCTGTTAAAGTCCTGGTCTTCACAACATCCTGTGGCAGGGAGTTCCACAGGTTGTGCGCCGCATGAAGAAAAACGTCCTTTTGTTTGTTTTAATTGGTATGCCTGGGAACACATCCCCTTAGCCAAAGCCCCACCCTAGGATGGATCTGCATCAGAAATGCAAGCTCTCTCCCAGCTTCCCATCATGCAGGGAGGCAAGCCAGCTGCTCCCCTCACTCTCCAGTGACATGCCCTACTCCTGTCCACATCCCCAGGGAAGTCCCCCCCCCGGTGACACTGCTCTGGGGGCAGTGCCGTTCCTTTCCTCAGGTAGTTGCCCCATGTTGCTGATCTCCTAGTGGACAGCGCCCCTGTGTGCCCGGCACGGCAAGGAGTCCCCGGAGCGGAGGTATGGAAGAGCCAAGCAAAAGCAGCCAGCTCACAGGAGGAGCGCTCCAGAGAGGGCTAACAGCAGGCATCAGGGGGCGGGGCAAATGGAAGGAGGCTTAAACCACATGGCAGGGGTGGAGCAACACTCAATATGCCAGGACCCAGCGGAGAAGGAGGCTGAGAAGGGTCAGCGGCTGTAGGAGCTTTGTTCAGCAGAGGAACATGCTAAGCCCCACTCAGTGCAGTTAACGTCAGGTTACATCAGCTACGGGGGTGCTCCTGGAGGGCTCCTGCCCCCAGCTACTCACCCCGGCTGGGCAGAGCCTGGGGCGGTGTCTTTCTGGACCAGAGAAGCCCAGGCCAGAATGGTGGGTCCAAACCCCACATCCCTCCCCCACCCCCAAATTCTGGAGCCCTTTGAAACTGGAGTGACTGTTACAAGTGGCCCTAAATGGATTACTAGGCCAACGCAACCCCCCAGGAGTCAGCAGACTCCGAGAACATCACACGGAGCCCCTGGGGTCCTGCCCTCTGACAATGGCTCCAGAGCAGGGTTCCCCATAAGCTGAGCGCGGGGCGAGTCAGGTGCTGCCCAGCTGCTTAGCAGAGCACCCACAGCCAGCAGCCTGTGTTCCTACTGGTGGTGCACATCCACACGTCTTGGTGCACAGAACAAAATGTACTCCGCACATGAATGCAAAAAACCAAGAGGGAACATTGCTCTGGAGCCTCTGGTCAACATTTCTCCTCCTGCTTAGGGTCCAGGGCACGGACAGAATAAATACCTGCTTCTGGAGTCCACTCGGCTCCCCACAGAGGGATTTTGAACGACGCTGGGATTTAATGTGTGACCAGGTGGGGCAGCCCTGCAGAGAACCCCCCTGGCGCTGGCTATCTAAAGCCAGAACTCTCCCAGCCCGCCAGCCCTGCCCCACGCAGGTGGGAAGACGCCCTAAGTCTTAAGGGCACCCTTTTTCTTGCCTTCATTCCACCGGGCCCGCCTGGAGAGGTGCTAGGGAGGGAGCCGAGGGTCGCGTGCCACGGAGAAGGGAGGAGAATTTGTTAGACTGTTGATGCTTATTAAGCCTGCCTCCCTGTCAGGGGTGGGTGTGCCCAGCCCCCTCTCAGACAGGGCGTTAGGCCTCTCACCTTGTGCACCACCCTACGAGGGTCTCAGGCCCTAGGACCCCGGGCCTCTCACTACACCCCTGCTCCCCTACAACAGTCCAGCCTTCTGGCCACAGTCAGTACAACAGCCCTTCTCTCAGGGTGGTGAGGCCCAGTGGCTAGAGTCCTTCCCTCAGGGCGGTGGGGCCCCCAGCCCAGGGCCCTAGCAATGGCAGGTGCATCCCACCATTAGTGCAGCAGGGAATGCACCTGAAACATGCTGCACTCTTGAGGATTTACCTCCCCGCCCTGGGCTACTTGCTACCAGCCTCCCTGACATCAGCTTTTTCCTCCACTGCCCTTTATACCTGTCCTCCAGCTGGAGCATGCCCAGTAGGGCTCTGGGGCGGGGCTCTGTCAGCTAGGCAGCCCTGATTAACTCTTTCAGACCCTGTCACACTCCCCTAACGCCTTTTGTTTCTTGTCCCCAGTAAAGCCCCCCATATTGAATTTTTCTTTTGAGTGCAGCTATGAATGTGTGGGGGTTTGTAGCAAGTGCCCTTTATACCTGTCCTCCAGCTGGAGCATGCCCAGTAGGGCTCTGGGGCGGGGCTCTGTCAGCTAGGCAGCCCTGATTAACTCTTTCAGACCCTGTCACACTCCCCTAACGCCTTTTGTTTCTTGTCCCCAGTAAAGCCCCCCATATTGAATTTTTCTTTTGAGTGCAGCTATGAATGTGTGGGGGTTTGTAGCAAGGTGTTTGTGTGCTCGGTCGTGTTCCTCGGGCATAGAGCAGAGGTGCCCATTATTTGCCCAAGCGACAGTGCCCCTTGTGTCTCAGGCATGGATAGAAGTGCCTAGAGTGAAGGCATGAAGTAAAGAATCCAAGACTGGTGTTCCCTCTAATCTTTTCCAGCCATGTGCAGAATAAATTTTGTTCTGTGCACCAAGGCATGTGTGGATGTGCACCACCCGTGGGAACACATGCTACTGGCTCTGGGCGCACTGGTAATCCACTGGGCAGCATTTGAATCTCTCCAGGGTAGTTGCCCACGCGCTCAGCTTACAGGCACCACGGCCCAAGACCCAACGGAGGCAAGAAGCCACCCCAGTTAGCGAACAGAAGGGAGGAGCTGTATGGTGGGAGCTCCTCCGGTACCACCGTGATGGGCAAGGGATAAAAGCCGGCGAGCCAAGCTTGTGCTCACAGTGGGATGGGATCCGGGTAAGTCCCCTGGGGTCACACAGGGAGCCCACTTCCCAGATGTCACGTACGTACCCTCCAGCTCTTCAACGAGGGCCCTGTTTGTTGCTTTCAGCGCCAAGCGAAGCAGGCTCTTGCCCCGCGCGTCCCAGCTGGGCACCAGCTCGTACAGCTTCTGCATCTTCTCCGGGTCAGTCCTCTCAACCGTGAGGGTCTGGAGGGGTCTGCTCTGAAGCCCCAGTGCCTGCATGTGCAGGGGAGGGAAGACATCCCAACTCGCAGCAAGGGCTGTGAAATTCACGCGTACAGCTTCTGCATCTTCTCCGGGTCAGTCCTCTCAACCGTGAGGGTCTGGAGGGCTCTGCTCTGAGGCCCCAGCGCCTGCATGTGCAGGGGACGGAAGACATCCCAACTCGCAGCATGGGCTGTGAAATTCACACGCGGCTTGTCAAAAGGTGCCCCTGAGAAGTCAGTTAAACACACCAAATGAACGACTGTCTTGATCATACCACAGGCAGCTGCTGGCCTGTCCCATCCTCCCATTTATTTCCCCAGCTGCCCTCCACCCCCCAACTTTGCTGGTCCTGTGGCTGGAGGCGGGGAAAGAAATTTGACTCCTGCTGCTGTTAAACATAGAATCACAGAACACGAGAATGGGACGGGACCTTGAGAGGTCATTAAGCCCCGTGCCCTGCCCTCACCACAGCACCAAGCACAGTCTGACCATCTCTGAAGAGTGTCTGTCCAACCTGCCCTTAAGTATCTCCAGAGGTGGGGATTCCACACACCCCCAGGCAATTTATTCCAGTGTTTGACCACCCTGACAGGCAGGAAGTTTCTCCTAACGTCCAATCTAAACCTCCCTTGCTGCAATTTAAGCCCATTGCTTCTTGTTCTATCCTCAGAGGCCAATTTGTCTCCCTCCTCCTTGTGACACCCTTTTAGATACTTGAAAATCGCTATCATGTCCCCCCTCAGTCTTCTCTTTTCTAAACTAAACAAACCCAGTTCTTTCAGTCTTCCCTCATAGGTCATGTTTTCTAGCCCTTTCATCATTCTTGTTGCTCTTCTCTGGACCCTCTCCAATTTCTCCACATCTTTCTTGAAATGCGGTGCCCAGAACTGGACACAGTCCTCCAACTAAGGCCTAATCAGCGCAGAGTAGAGCAGAAGAATGACGACTCGTGTCTTGCTCATAACACTCCTGTTAATACCTCCCAGAACCATGTTGCTTTTTTGCAACAGTCTCACACTGTTGACTCATATTTAGCTTGTGGTCCTCTATGACCCCTAAAGCCCTTTCTGCTGTACTCCTTCCTAGACAGCCGCTTCCCATTCTGTATGTGTGAAACGGATTGTTCCTTCCTAAATGCAGGACTTTGCATTTGTCCTTATTAAACTTCATCCTTTTACCTTCTCAGACCATTTCTCCAGTTTGTCCAGAGCGTTTTGAATTATGACCCTATCCTCCAAAGCACTTGCAACTTTATTCATGAATTGAAGCTCTCCTGGGCCAGACAATGCCCTTCCTCAGTCGCACACACACTTGGGCTGTGTCTAGACTGGCCAGTTTTTCCAGAAAAGCGGCCACTTTTCCGCAAAAACTTGCCAGCTGTCTACACTGGCCACCTGAATTTCCGCAAAAGCACTGACTTCCTACTGTAAGAAATCAGTGCTTCTTGCGGAAATACTATTCTGCTCCCATTCGGGCAAAAGTCCCTTTTGCACAAAACTTTTGCACAAAAGGGCCAGTGTAGACAGCTGAGATTTGTTTTGCGCAAAAACGCCCCGATTGCAAAAATGGCGAACGGGGTTTTTTTGCGCAAAAGCGTGTCTAGATTGGCCACGGACACTTTTCCACAAGAAGTGCTTTTGAGGAAAAGCGTCGGTGCCAATCTAGATGCTCTTTTCCGAAAATGCTTTTAACGGAAAACTTTTCTGTTAAAAGCATTTCCGGAAAATCATGCCAGTCTAGACGTAGCCTTGGTGTGGACCCTGGGTTACTTCAGTTGCCACAGTTCTGCCTTCTTCTGGGGTGGGGGTAGGGCAGCAGTTAAAGTGCTGAGGGACAAGTCCTAGGACAGAATCAGACACTGGAGGGACACCGGGGGAACACAGAGCTCTGCTCACAAAACCAGGCAGGGTCAGGCAGCCAGACAAGGAACTTTAAGGGGACACTTTCAGGAGCACAGAAAAAGAGCTCATGAGGGGAACCAGTTCCCTGTTGTACCCTCCGCCCCCATCTTTCAGCCCCAAACTGACTCCTCTGTCCCCACGCCAACACTGTTTGGTGATTGCCCCTCTGTGTTCTCTGGTGCTGTTTACATGGGGGGCTGAGCAGGCCTCAGAAAACAGTCCCCTCTCCAGCATGCAGGGGAACATGCCAGCTGCTTGACATACCCACTGTGGTAGCCTAGCTCTTAGCGCTTAAGAGGAGTTAGATCTTGAACAAATGGACTCACAGATGGACGGACAGACAGACAGACAGACAATCTACCTTTCTAAAATACAGAGATATAGATTTTGAGTGTTGCTTGATTTTAGCCAAACTGTGTTAGCTTCTATTATCTGAAAATGTGACTCACCAACTTTTGAAAAAAAATATGCATGCCTGGGGAACGAGTCATGTGTGTTTTGCTATTCTCAGGGCTTGTATTTTTCTGTAGCAGGGTTTCCGCCGCTTGTTGTTTTAAATCTCTAAACTGAGCGCTCAGTTACATCAGCTAGCTGATTGGCTGCCAGTGATTTCGTAAGAGGAAGAGCCTGTCTGGATTTCAATGGAAGATTCTTACAAGCAAGAGGAGGGAAGATGTTTGCTTTTAGATTTGGTAACCAAAGACCCCGAAATGCAGGTGAACCCCACCAAAGCCTGTGGGAACACTAGAGTTACTTCTCACTGTGTTTCTGCAGGCCCTGGCCTGGTTAGATTGAATTTGTTTTCTTTCTGGGTGTGTAGAATTGGAGATAATGAAAGCAGATTATAAAACAGCCACATCGTGTTGTAAAAACAAAGCTAGTCCTTGTGTTTCTTTATCAGAAGATTTTACACAGTTGCCTGTGTGTCGTTACAGGCTTGCTTGGTGACAGGTGTCTTGAAATAAATAAACCCAAATTACTGAAACTGGTGTGATTTTGTTGTGTTATTTTGACACATAAAATATGCAGAATTTTGCAACATGTGAAAATATTGTGCACTGAATTTTTAACTTCTCCTGGCAGAACTGCCCCAGGAGTATCCTCTGCACCAGTCAACACCACACACCTAGTGTAACGCAGGCATGGAAAGGGAGTAGAGGGATGCAATACTCACAGGCTGTGTCTATACTGGTATGTTCTTGCGCGAAAACTTGCCGCCTGTCTACACTGGCCGCGCGTTCTTGAGCAAGTACACTGACGTTGTACTGTAGAAAATCAGGGCTCCTTGCGCGAGAACTCTGACACTCCCTCTCAGGAAGAAGCCCTTTTGCGCAAGAGCTCTTCCAGAAGAGGCCAGTGTAGACAGGCAACATGAATTTCTTACGCAAGAAGCCTCTCTGGTTAAAATGGCCATCAGAGCTTTCTTGCGCAAGAGAGCGTCCACACTGCCGTGGATGCTTTTGTGCAAAAGCACATCTCTTGTGCAAAAGCACGTGGCAGTGTAGACGCGCTCTTGTGGAAGAGTTGTTGCACAAGAAGCTGCCAGTGTAGACGTAGCCACAGTGACCACTGGGCAGGGAGTACAGGAGGCAGCTGTACTGCAGAGTGACCAGAGGGGCAGCTGCAGAAGCAGGAGATTGGCCAGCTGGAGATAGGACTCCACATGGCCACCCACTGCTAAGTGGCCTCCCTGCCCAAAACAGTGGCCACCAGCCCTGCTGCAGACCCCCCCAGGAGCCCCTCTCAGGAGGAGAAGCTGGGAATTGTGGGCCCCCCCAGCTCCCCAAGAGAGGCTCCACCAAGGTGTGTCCAGGGAAGCGGCCTGGCCCCAGACCAGCTGTAGGCTAAGGGTCAGGGTTGCCAGGTGTCCAGTGTTGAACCGGACAGTCCAGTATTTGAGCTTTCTGTTCCGGAAACACATTGAGAACTTAGAAATGTCGGGTATTTTCGAACCAAGGTGCAATGTAGATTGTGATGGAATGTTGAGTGTGTCCAGTAGTTTTGTTGAAACCATCTGGCAACCCGAGCTAAGGGAGGGAGGCAGCCAGAGACCAGGGCCTGCCCCAGACTGCCACCCCTCCAGACAGGCTGGAAGCTGGGAAGAGGGTATCTGGAGGCCAGGGCAGGCCCTCAGAGTGCTGCCTGCCCCCCTGAGCAGCTGCAGGGCGGGTGAGGGGCAGCTGGAGACCAGGGCTAACCCAGAGCACCATGCCCCCCTCAGACAAGCTGCAAGTCAGGGGGCAGGCCCTGGAGCACCATGCAGGATGGGAGGGAGGGGACAGCAGGAAGCTGGGAGCCTTCCCCTCTCTTCTGTGGAGCCTTCCCCCCTCGAACAAGCTGGAGGCCCAGCCCCGGCCCCCCAGGAGGAACAGCCCAGTGGGGATTGCAGCCCTGGCCCCCGAGGACAAGCCACCAGCCAGGGAGTGCAGCCCTGTCAACGGGCAGTGCAGCAGCATGACCCTCACAGGCAGCCCCATTTAAAATCCCCACCTGGACCCCCAGCCTTCAGCCTCTCCCCCTCCCCCCCCCCAGCATGCGACCCCCTGCCCTGAACTCCCTGGCTGGAAGCAGAGTCAATGAACATGTGAGCGGGCTCTGCGCAGGGCAGGGGGGCAAAGAAGCCAGAGTCAGGCGCCGAACCTCAGCAGGAGGGAGATCTGCTGGCACCTGGGGCCTCCTGTCCCCCCCTCCCCAAATCTAAACTCCTGGCTCTGCTCCCCCCACTCATCACCTCGCCCTTCTGGTGCCTCCTCGTCGAGGGGAAAGTTCCTGGCTTAAGCCTCTCGATTGCAGTTTGGCTCCGTGGCTCTCAGCCCCCCTCCCCCAAACACACACAGGTGGTGCCAGCGCATCAGCCCCCTGCTCCGCGTTCCTCTCTGGATCCCTCCTTACCAGCCGCGAAGGGGAATTTCAGTGACTGGGCCCGAACTAGCGACTCCTCCGCTCCAAAGTCCTTCCAGGGGGAGCCGGGCACTGCTGGGCCCTCGCGTTCGGCTACGTCCGTGGCTCTCAGCCCCCCTCCCCCAAACACACACAGGTGGTGCCAGCGCATCAGCCCCCTGCTCCGCGTTCCTCTCTGGATCCCTCCTTACCAGCCGCGAAGGGGAATTTCAGTGACTGGGCCCGAACTAGCGACTCCTCCGCTCCAAAGTCCTTCCAGGGGGAGCCGGGCACTGCTGGGCCCTCGCGTTCGGCTACGTTGGATCTCCCCTGCAACTGGAGTTCGGGCCCTTCGTTGCGGACCGGGTGCAGCCCCCGACCGCGGGGCCTGCGCGCCATGCTGCCGCCCCAGGCAGAGGCCCCGCCGCAGCGGAGACCGAGTCAGACCCCGGCCCGGGAGCAGGAAGTCGCTGCTGTGCCGAGCGGGAGGAGGCAGGGCTCGAACCTCCCTCCCCGCGGGGCTGCGAGCGGCCACTTCACCCTGCTGCCCGGCGGCTGCTCTGTGCCGCCTGAGAACGGGTTTGCCCGGGGCGCGTGTCGGGCTCGGAGGCGTTTTCCCTCAGCCTGCAACACCCTGATCGCCCTGGGTGTGTCCAGCCTCGGCCCGCTCGACGGCCCTTGGTGAGGCAGGCAGGGGAGTGGCTCTCACATCACCTTGGGGTAATGTCCCCTGCAGGAACTCCTGCCTTCTAAGTCTTCTTATCAGCTTCATTTAGCAAGGACACGCTAATTGGCCATTTCTTTCCCCTTCTTTTTTCCCTTTCTCCGCTCTGTGCTATCTATTTTAAAACCGGACCCCTTAGACTCCAGTCCTCTGAGGAAGTGGGTTGTGCCCACAGAAGCTCAGGAGCCTGTGTATATATTTGTGTTAGTTTCTAAAGGTGCTGCAAGACTATTGATTGTTTTTTAAGTTTTTCCAGTGACAGACTAACAGGGCTACCCCTGCACCAACGTTTGCTTCTGGTCCTCATACCAATATAGCATTTGCCTATCAAAACTGTACTGTTTTTGGAGGTCAAACTCATATAAATCAGGCTATGTCTACAATACAGAGATTGATGGAAACTTGTCAGGGAACACGTCTGCTCTTCTGACATTTTTTGCAGAAGAGCAGACGTGCTCTTTCGGAAGCCCTGTAAACTTTGATTCATGAGGAATAAGGGCTCTTCCAAAAGAGGACGTTTTTTGGAAATTTGGCCCCATGTACACACACATCCGAGCAGCAGCACTGACACTGGATCTCTTCAGGTTCAAAGAGAGTGCCGTTGTGGGCCCAGCTTCCTAGGATACCCCTTCCCAAATAGGAGCTAATCCCCCAAAGAATTAGGTAAATCACCTTTAACAATGAAAGGGGGACTGTGCACCCTGGTTCCCCCCCCTCCCCATGTTTACACTGGGTTTGATAGAAAATAAAAGTGGTACTTAAGTACTGTAGAAGCAGTCAGACTGAAGTGGTAATAAGTGAGAACAGGCAGAGCAAAGCAGGTTACAAATCAAAAGAAACAAAACTGCTTGGCTAATTCTACACTGAAACCTCAGCACAAAGTCTTCAAACTCACCTTGAAATCTCCTTTCCAGCTGCCCCTCCAAACCAGGGCTGTCTCCCCACCCTGGGGTCTTCCGGCTCCTTCCCTCAAGTGCAGCCCAAACAAAAGACCAAGACCCCTGCTTTCCTGTTCTTTTTGTTAAGGGATTAAGGCCCCTCCCCACCAATCATGGCTCAGACTTAGGACAAGGAGATGGTCTAACACAGTGGTCTCCAACCTTTTTACACCCAAGATCACTGTTTAAGTCTCAGAACAGGTGAAGATCTACTGCCCCGCCCCTTCCTTGAAGCCCTGCCCTCTCTATTCTCCTGTCCATCACTTGCTATCCCCAGCCCTTATACACTGTTAAACAGTTTATTTTTAAATTATGCAATATATAAAATTAAAATCACATGTTTATAGGTATGAAATAAATGGTCTGTTTTTAATTCATACTATTTAAATGTCAAATGAAGCATTTACAATTATACATTTTGTTCTTTGCTATTTTATAAATCTAAAATCAAGTAGGGAGAATTATATTTTTTCTTCCAATAACAAAGTCTCAGTGTGACACCTGTGACTGAACAGTATCTGCCAGTGTCTTGAAGTCTGGGTTGTAGTCTGAGATTGCTAGTCGTATACAGTCCATCAGATGGGCATCTGTGATCCTGCGCTCGGCCTGGGAAGCTTGTTCCAGCACGAGCGCAGGGCAGCCGGGCTGGAGGGAAGAGAAGTGGCTGCCCGGCCAGCTGGCCATGGCGCTCAGCCAGGGTGCACCAAGCTCCACCTGAGCAGGTGCAGAGGAGAAGCTGCTGATCAGCTGGAGCGCAGGGCAGCCTCTTTCACAATGCCTATCTCCTAGAGCTGGAAGGGACCTTGAAAGGTCATTGAGTTCAGTCCCCTGCCTTCACAGCAGGACCAAGCACTGTCCTTGACAGATTTTGCCCCAGATCCCTAAATATCTGCCTTAAGGATTGAGCTCACAACCCTGTGTTTAGTAAGCCAATGCTCAAATCACTAAGCTATTCCTCTCCCCTGCCTGCTACAAAACATTGTGTCTAACTTTACACACAGGAATGACAGGCACACTGAAGTAAGAGCAACAGAACCAGCAGGCCATGACATGCAGATTGAGGGGTTACACGAAATGATTTGCTCCAAACACCTTTGAATTATGTATATTTATATCTGGGGAGGGGAGGGGGCGTCTATCACACTAGTATCCTGCACTTCCATGGGCTCAGCCCACGGCTGCCGAGGAGAGTTCACTCAGTGAATGCCCAGTGTCCCAAGGCCAGGGTTTAAAAGGGGTGTCCTATGGGAACTGTGCATATCTAGTCACCCTAGACACTGGTAGCAGCAGATAGGGCCTCAAAGAAACCTGTAAAGCCTTCCTTAACAGACAGTCTAGGGCCCAGACCCCAAATCAGTAGGAGTTGGACACTTACATGCCTTTGGTAAACCCTGATTCAGGGTGTTAAATCTGCAGGTGAATAGGCAGCAAAAACAAACAAACAAACCAAAGGGAGTTTTTCTTCACTCAGCACAGAGTCAACCTGTGGAACTCCTTGCCAGAGGATGTGGTGAAGCCTAGAACTTTAACAGGGTTCAAAAAAGAGCTAGATAGATTCATGGGGGTTAGGTCCATCAATGGCTATTAGCCAGGATGGATAGGAATGGTGTCCCTAGCCCCTGTTTCTCTGGAGGTGGGAGACAGGGCAGGGATTACCTGTTGTGTTCTCTCCCTCTGGGGCATCTGGTATTGGCCACTGTCAGCAGACAGGACACTGGGCTAGATGGACCTTTGGTCTGACCCAGTCTGGCCCTTAATGCTGTACAATGTTGCATCCAGGCCTCACCCTAGAGGTGGCTGCATTTTGAGACTGGGTGAGCAATCTCTCACTATCCAGACTGGAAAGCACTGTGGTAACATTTCTTAGGAGAATATTTATATTAGCAAATAGGTTAACAAACCCTGGTTCCTGCTCTTGTCAGCCACTCCCGATGGGGAGTGATGGTCCCATGTGGAATCTGGGAGGAGAATCCAGAGACGATGCGGAAGGTGTATGAACTGGTCCTGAGCGGGACCAGGGCCGGCCGGCTGCAAGACAGTCACCAACATCAGGTGGAAGAGTTTTAGAGGAGCCTCTGAGAACGGCTGCACCCAGGGAGCTCCGGACTCCAGCCCTGGTCCTTCACCCCTCAGCAGGCTGCGCTAGAGCTCACACAGCCCCACCAGTCCCTCACCAAGCCCCCGCCCCACAGCCTCACTTAGT